ATCAGACCTCGAGGGCCGCCCGATACACCCCTAGATTCGTTAAGCTGGTTGCCCGAGCGGTGACCGAGCATTGGAGCGGCGCGTCAGCTGGCGCTAGGACCACCTGGGCTGAGTTCGGCGAGGACTCCTTTCCGGCGGAAGCGGAGGAAGGCAGCGGCCCACGCTTGGAGTCGATTGCGGAAGCCGAAGAAGGAAGCGACACCGACAGCGGAGATGAGCCAGAGACCCGGGTTCCCCAGGATGCCAAGGGCACCCCTCAGGACGAGATGGACCCGTCGGAGGAAGACAAGAGGCTTTTGTACAAAGTCCATGTCAACATGGTCCATCCCGAGACCCGTCGTTTCTGTCGAGTTCTTAGAGCCGGGGGGGTCAAGCGCCACCTGGTAAGATGGGCCGGGGATAGTTTCCGCTGTGCCGAGTGCGAGGAGCATCGACGAGCGGGCAACCACCGCCGGGTGGCTCTTCCTAGGACCTTTCGTTTCAACCACATTGTGGGCATCGACCTGTTCTATTTGGATTTCCAAGGGGTCTCGCATCCGTTCATCAACGTGGTCGACCACGGATCCAATCTTCAGGTCTGTTGCAGGGTCGCGAATGCTAGGGCCGCCACTGTCTGGGCCGGTTTTGCGCAATGCTGGTTGAGGCCGCTAGGCGCTCCTCACTTCATGATTTCCGACGGAGGTTCTGAGTTCGGAGAACGTTTCGCTCGAGGGCTGGAGCAATGGGGGGTGAAGCACCATGTGTGCGACGCGGACTCCCCCTGGCAAAACGGGAAGGTTGAACGCCATGGGGGTTGGATTAAAGACCGTGTGAAGGCTGAGCTCGACGCCGGAACTCATCCGCCAGGGGATCTGGAAGAGCTGGACACGCTCGTTCACGAGCTCACAGCCCATAAGAATCGATATTGGCACAGAGGAGGGTTCTCGCCACTCCAGCTCGTGTTCGGAGAGAACCCAAGACTCCCACACGACCTTTTAAGCGACGATTCTTACGGTCTCCCAGGCTGGGAAGACACTCTCCGACCTTCCTCCGAGCAGGATGCGGCCGGTGCTGAGTTCGCCAGAGCCCAGCAGATCAGGGCCTCTGCTCGCGACCTGGCTATGCGAGCCATGGCCCACGAGAAGATAAGCCGTGCCTCGAGGGCCCGGGGCCCCGCTCCCAGGGAGTTCTTGCCAGGACGATGGGTCTACGTGTGGAGACATATGACTAGGTCCTCGTCTCGAGCGGATGCTCTCGGCCGGCGTCGTGACGGATGGTGTGGTCCCGGGGCCGTGGTGCTCGCTCAGGGCGGGACTGTCTGGGCGGCGGTGCGAGCGCGTTTATGGAAGTGCTCGGCCGAGCAGCTGCGTCTCGCGAGTGCTGATGAGGAGCTGGGGGTGCAGTTGACACAGAGTCCTCGATGGCAGGAAATGCTAAGACAGTCAGCCACCCGTCGGGCCACCGCCGTGGATGTGCAGCGAGAGGGCCCACCACCAGAGGATGCGTGGGACGACCAGGTTAGGGGGGATATGGATCCGGCGCCTCAGGTGCCAGGTCAACCCGAGCCATCGCCAGAGGCTAGTCGTCCCGCCCCAGCGGTCCCAGCTCCTTCGTTTTCCCCAGGGGCCCCGATTCCCGACTCCGGGGTTCGCCGCGTTCCCGAGGGTCCCAGGGCCGAGGAGCGAGGGCCAAATTCTGAGGCCAGATCGGCAGAAGCCCAGGCCGGGTCGGAGAGGACCAGGTTCCCATCTAACGACCTCCTCCCGTCAGTCCTCGGAAGCTCATGGCTCCAGGGAAGGAGCCGAGAGAGTTGAGCCTCCGATCCCTGCTCCGGATCCCTCCGCCTCTCCTTCTCCGGTTGCTGCTCTTCCTCCTTCCGTTTCCGTGCCTCCTGCTGCTCCTCCTCCTCCCCCTCCTCCTCTTCCTCCTCTTCTTCCTCGTTTTCAAGAGGAGCCGACGTCAGCAGGGGCGGCTGGGGGATCTCGGATGACCAGCGTTCCTCCCAGACCCAGGGCACGCCTGGCTCAGCCCGAGGACGTGCCGACATGCATCCGTCGTGCCAGGTCCGAGGCCCCGCCGGAAGTGAAAAGACCAAGGATTGGGTCCCCACCTCCTGGCCTTGCGACTGCCCCTCCCCTCTCGTCTGGTCCTTCCTCCTCTTCCCACCCCTTGCCTTCCTCTTCCGAAGCTGGGGTGTCGCCCGTCGTAAGAGAGGAGGAGCCAGCCAGACAGGTGCAGTCAGGCCGGCTGGAACCTCGAAGACCAGTCAGCCAGATGGTGCGCGATCTCGAGACACCGGGCCTAGCGCGACCACCCGCTAGAGGCAGGAGTCGATCGCCCGCAGGAGAAGCCGCTGACTTTCTCATCTTCCCAGGGGAGGTTGGCGACGGTGTCCAGGCCAGGCTCCTGGACCCAGGAGTTTTCGAGGATTCCGAGGTCTTTGCCACCAGTAGGGGAGGGGGGGTTTCTCTGAAAAATCTGTCGCCAGCCGAGAGGGAGAAGTTCGTCGCCTCCGACTCCAAGGAGTGGGAAGCGATGCTAGGCACGGGAGCAGTCGAGATTATTTCCCCGGCGAAGGCGGAAGTCGTGCGGAAGCTGCATTCGGATCGGATCATTTCTAGCAGAATGGTCCGACGATGGAAGCCGGTGGAAGGAACGTTCAAGGACCCCGATGCCAAATCACGATGGTGCGTTCATGGGCACAGAGACCCCGATTCAGGGGCATTGGCGGTCTATGCCCCAACCCCGCAAACGTCGAGCATCATGATGTTTTTGCAGGTGGTCATGAACCTGGGTCTGTTTGCCGACATTGCCGATGTTAAAAATGCGTTCTGTCAGTCCGACCCCATGTCCCGCACCCAGGGCCAAATCTTCGTGGAACCCTGTGAAGGAATCAGACTTCCCCCAGGTTCCTTGATTCTCTTAAAGGTGAATGTTTACGGATTTGACGATGCTCCCATGGCCTGGAGAAAGACGGCCGTCAGCTTCTTGGAGCGTCACGGTTTTACGCGTTCCCTGTTAGAACCCTGCTGGTGGATACGATATGGACCAAACGGCAGTGTTCGGAACATGGTGCTTCTAGAAGTTGACGACTTCTTTATTGGGAGTACTGCGACCGAGGACCGCAAGTGGCTCAGGGACCGACTGGAATCGAGATTCAAGTTCGGAAAATACCGCGATTGTGGTGCCGGACCGGTGGACTTTGCAGGACGTCGAATCACCATCGGGCCCAAACGTGCTGCTGTAGATATGGAAAAGTATATCTTGGAGGAGATGCGACCGTTGTCCGTGGCACGAGGTAGGTTGTCGCACAAAGATGCTCCACTTGAACCCTCTGAGTTCCGTGCTTTGAGATCTCAATAAGCTCGTTCGCCATCTGCGATCATCAGCATCCAGGGGCATTACTGCATGGAAGCTGGACCCAGATAGCTTTCGTATCATTTTCAGATGCAGGGGGTGTGGGCGCTTTTGGGGATATGATAGACGAGAAGGGCCTCCCCGAGGATCCTACCCAAGGGGCATGGATGGTTCTCGCTTGTGACCAAGCTATTCTAGATAACAAGGCTGTTAAGGCGTCCATCCTCGGCTGGAGGAGCTCGAAGCTCCGTAGGAAGGTGCCCTCTGCGTTAGCAGGGGAAACACAAGCCCTGTCTGCCGCAGTAGCAGAAGTTGAATATCCTCAGATTTTATACCGAGATGTTGTTTTTAATGATGTCCATGTTCGAGACCATCATAGGGGATCCAGGCCGTTCACTACTGTTTTACGCCGGGACTGCCGTCTGGGATCTAGAGAGAAGCAGGTGCACGTTGTAGATGCCAAGTCTATTTACGACACGATGATGAAGGAAGGAAATGCTAGCGCAAAAGATAGAAGGACGGCCATCGATCTAGCTATAATCTGTGAGGCTCTAGAACGTGCTAAAGGTAGAGTTCGTTGGATACCACGCGGTAGGATGCCAGTCGACTCGTTGACCAAGGATGACGTTACCAAGTGTAACGCGGCACTGTTCGACCTCATGACCAGCGGGAGATTGATCCTCATAGACGAAGGGTCAGAAGTCGAGCGGAGACGAGAGCAGCCAGGCCTGAAGAATCGTTCCCAAGCCGCCTCGCGGAAGGAGTTGAATCAGGCCGAGATGATTTCTTGGAGTGAGTTCTTCTCGAGCTTCTCCGAGGACTCGATCGGCAGCGGTGGTGGTGGTTGTTGCTCTCCCCTCCTCTTCCCTTCCTGTCCTCAACCTCCTGCCCCGGTGCCGGACACCACAGAGGTGTTCCAGTGAGATCAAGGAAAACATCTCGCTTGTTTCGTACCAGCGCGCGAAGGCGCCAGTGCACTGACGATTAGGAGCTTGCGACGTCCACAGGGGACCTCTAAACCTGCAAGAAAGTTTAGGGCGTGTGAATGCGTGCCATATTTTCACCGACAGGTTTAGCTTGTGGACGTATATCCTTGATTTGCGGTAGTGTGTGTACTATCGTTTGTACAGTTGCATACGCAGGACAGTGTGAGTGCACCGTGGTTCGCACGTTTGGCTCAAGTCTAAAAACCTTTGACTGCCGCTGCTGCTGCCACACTCCCTCGCTCGCCGCCGAATTTTACTTCGCTGCCATCGCTCAGGGTGGCGCTCTCGCCCCAGCACGGGCCATTTTTCTGGATCTTTCCTGCTGCCCCTCCCCCCCCTCTCCTCCTCTTCCCCCCCCCCCCTCCCCCCTCCTCCCTTTCCCCGCCTTCCTCCCTCTCTTTCCTCCCTCCCAGGAGGAGGACGAGGACGAAAGGGACGGGGATGAGGGCTGAGGGTCAGCCTGGGGCCGAGAGCATGAGAGGTCGATCAGGTGTAGAAGGCATGTCTTCACATGAGCGGCGCGTGAGGGGTCTGCACAGAGAGACTCTGCACTGCGGCCAGACCTTCTCTTGCCGCAGCGCATCCTGGCCGTGAAGCTTGGAGCCTCGAGAGGCCGTCCGTGACGACAGCGGTCGTCCCCTCAGGATGTATGCCCCCCCCCTCCTTTCCCATGCGTGCAGTAGCCGTTTGGGCTCCAGGCCTCCAGCGGGGCTCAGGGCAGGCAGCACGGCCTGCCATGACTGCCGGAGGCCCGGCAGCGGACGCCAGCGCCGGGCGAGCGGTTCCGGCGCGGCAGGACCCCGACTCGGACGAGGAGGTGGTGGCGGCAGGGCCGCTGCTGGTGGTGGCCCCGGGAGAGGGCGCGGGCGGCCGTGGCGGCGCTGCAGAAGCGCAGGCCGGGGCCGGCGTCGCAGCTGTCCCGAGCGATGGCGAGGAGTGCGGAGACGCGCGCCTGCCGGGGCCTCCCGCGGAGGTGCGCGACCTGTCGCCGTGCTGGTGGGACCCGCACTTCCTGCTCAGACCTGGTCCCGAGGGGGGCGCGTTGCTGGTGGTGCGTCTGAGGGGTCTGGAGCTGGGCGACAGCGACGTCGCCTCTGCGGTGGTCGCGCTGGAAATGTACGTCGACCGCCTGGTGGAGCAGGGCGTGCCTCTCGCAGTTGACCTGGAGGCGGCCGAGAATTCCTTGACGGACGCTGGTGCCTTGGTGCTGGTCGACGGCTTGCAAGCTTTGAGACGGCGTTTCGGTGCGCACGTGCGCGTGCTGAAGCTGTGGAATAACCAGCTTGGAGATGTGGCAGCCGGTGCCATGGCAAGGCTTTTGGCGATGCAGCCACAGGCTGCAGAGGAGGTCCACCTCTCCCACAATAAGTTGTCAGCACGCGGCTTCGCGGAGCTGCTCGCCGCCATCGCCATGCATCCCTCCGGCGCCTACCCCCGCGTCGACTCCTCGGGTTTCGCAGTGCCGTGCTGGCTCCGAGCAGAGCACAATGACATTGCTGGGGTGCAGGACCTCCTGAAGGCCTTCGAGGCGCAGGGCCTGCGCTACTGCGCCGCGCCTCGCGACAGGAGTTTCAGCTGCTCCCCAGCCAGGTGCGCCGTCGGCGACGTCTGGGACACCAGCGCAAGCGCGCACGTTCACCTCTACTGCATTGCGTCACAGCGCGAGGATGCGAGCTTACGCGGGCAGTCGCCAGAGCAGTTGGTGCGGGAAGCTGTTGCGAAGCTTGCGGCGCTGGCCGAGGGCACTGGCGATGTCCTGCCCGTGCAGGGCGACTCGGCGACCGCTCAAGGCGCCGTGCACGGCGGGCAGAGAGCCGACGAAGTGGCGTGCCGGTATCAAACGCTCAACGTCGACCCAGAGAAGGGTGCCGGCTTGGACCTCGAGGCCACCGAGCTTGGCTTCCGCGTCATAGGACTGGAAGGCGAGCCGGGCCAGGAATTGCAGGTCGGAGACGTGCTGCTGGAGATCGCGGGGGAGCCACTGTGGGGCCTCGGCGAGGACGATCTCGAAGCCGCTTTCGGCAGCCGATTCGCGCACGGCGCTCGCCTGCGCATCGCAGGTTTCGATGCAGTTCGTGGGCGGGCCGTGCGGCAGAGGCTTCCACTGCGCCGCGGGCTCGCGGGCCGATGCCCCGTGCTGCTGGCGGCGGTCCACGATGATGTGGACGTGCTGTGCAGCCGCTTCGGCGTTCAGGCAGACATCGACACGGCAGAGAACACGGTGCTGCTGCATGGCGCGCCTGTGGCGCAGCGCTGGGCGTTGCGCGAGCTGCTGCAGCTGCTCGGGTTCTACCTCCCAGAGCTGCGTGCGGCAGGGAGGCCTCCGTGCACCTGGGTGGTGTGCGATGGGCCGGCAGTGGCTGCGCCACCCGTGGCGGAAGGCGGCTTCGGTGCCGCCGGCCCCTCCGCTGAGGCGCCCATCGAGGCCGCCAGGGGCGACGGGCTGGGTGAATGGAAGATCTCGCTGCGCGAGCAGGCGTCGGAGCTGGAGCAGGAGGACGACCTGGCCTTCGATCCTCTGGACGCCCCCGACGACGGCCCAGAGGTGTTCGAGGGCGAGGCCGTGAACAGAGGATTCTCGGTCTGGCGGCCGCTCCGGCTGCTGATCCTGGCTGGGCTGCCAGGGGCCGGCAAGAGCACACTGGCTGCCCGCATGGCCGACTCCGGCTGGGTCGTGGTGAACCAGGATCCGGGAGGCAAAGGCACACAGCCACAACTAGTCGTGGATTCCAAGGTTTTTATGTGTATATATATACATATGTTTTATTATTATTATTATTATTTTTATTATTATTATTATTATTATTATTATTATGATGATGATGATGATGATGATGATGATGATGAGGATGAGGATGAGGATGAGGATGATGATGATGATGATGATGATGATGATGATGATGATGATAATGATGATAATGATAATGATGATGATGGTGGTGGTGGTGGTGGTGGTGGTGGTGATGATGATGATGATGATGATGATTATCATTACTATCATTATTATTATTATTACTACTACTATTATTATTACTATTCTTATTCTTATTATTATTATCGTTACCAGAGTAATAATAATTATTATTACTATTACTATTCTTATTATTATTCTTATTATTATTATTCTTACTAATAATTGTATTATTACTATTATTTTTAATATTGTTATTATTCGTATTATTTCATATATAAAAACACCTTTGAACAACATTGGAAATGGAGGGGAAGAAAAATATGGGAAAGGTGAGGGATCCTTGGATGTGTGCCTGTTTGTTTGTGCGTCCCCGGGCCCCTCCCAGGACCTGCTCGGAAGTCGTCAGGCCTGCCTGGCCGGCGTGCGCACCGCGCTCGCCGACGGCGGGTGCGTGGTGGTGGACCGCTGCAACGTGACCTGCTGGCAGCGTTCCGCCCTTAGCTTGGCATCGCTCGGACGTGTGCATTTTTCCTTCGGCGAGGACCATCGAGGAGCATCCTTGATGATTTGGCGAAAAAACCACGCACGAAACCGAAAAAAAACACAGGGAATGGACGTCCGAGCGATGGCCAGTTAGTGTTAAGTCGGGCGTGCCCCTTCCCTCTACAGGAGGAATACTCAGAACTCATCAAACAAATAGTCTGGGGACGATTATGTTACTGCTTTTCATGGTTTCCCCAGCCAGCCTGTGGTGTCGGGTCCTCGCTCTGAAAGAGAGACGGTGCCCCGCGTCCTCCTCCTCTCCTCTCTTCCTCCTCCTACCCCGCCTCCCTCCTCCCGAACCCCCCTCACTTTGGCAAACTTCTCAGACGCTTCGTGGCTCCATAAGGAGTCGGAGCGAGCTCCACCCGCGGCCCAAGTGGCTGCGTTGACATGCCGCCTTCTGTCCACTTTGGCACACCCCTCGCACGTTTCGTGGCCCCATAAGGAGTCGGAGCTCCAAGCAAGGCCACAGTGGCTGCGTTCGCATGCCGCCTCCTGTCCACTTTGGCACACCCCTCACACGCTTCGTGTCCACATATGAGCTCCGCCCAAGGCCCCAGTGGCTGCGTTCACATGCCGCCTCCTGTCCACTTTGGCGCACCCCTCACACGTTCCTTGGCCCCAAAGGGAGCTCCACCGAAGGCCCCAGTGGCTGCGTTCGCATGCCGCCCCCCTTCATGTTTGGCACACCCCTCACACGTTTCTTGGCCCCATAGGGAGCTCCACCGAAGGCCCCAGCGGCTGCGTTCTCATGCGTTTCCCCCGCCCAGTACAGCGTGCCGTGGCTCCATAGAAAAGGGGCTTCACCGCAGGCCCTATTGGTGACGTTCGCATGCGTTTCCGCGTTCCCCCCCACCTTGTACAGCGCTTCGTGGCCACACAGGGAGCTCAGCCGAAGGCACTAGTGGCGGTCTCCGCATGCGTTTCCCCCACCCAGTACAGCGTTCGTGGCCCAATGGGGAGCTCCACCGAAGGCCCCAGTGGCGGTGTCCACATGCGTGTCCCCCACCTTGTACAGTATTCGTGGCCCCATAGGGAGCTCCACCGAAGGCCCCAGTGGCGGTGTCCGCATGCGTTACTCCCACCCAGTGCAGCGCTTCTTGGCACCATAGGGAGCTCCACCGAAGGCCCCAGTGGCGGTGTCCGCATGCATCTCCCCCCCCCCACCCAGAGTAACGTTTCGTGGCCCCATGGGGAGCTTCACCGAAGGCCCCAGTGGCGGTGTCCGCATGCATCTCCCCCCCACCCAGTGCAACGTTTCGTGGCCCCATGGTGAGCTCCACCGAAGGTCCCAGTGGCGGTGTCCGCATGCGTTTCCCCCACCCAGCACAGCGCTTCGTGGCCCCATAGGAAGCTCCACCGAAGGTCCCAGTTGTGGCGTCCGCATGCGTTCCCCCCACCCAGTACAACGTTTCGTTGCACCATAGGGAGCTCGACCGAAGGCCTCAGCGGCGATGTTCGCATGCATCTCGCTCGCCCAGGACAACGCTTCGTGGCCCCATCGGGAGCTCCGCGGAAGACCTCAGTTGCGGTGTTCGCATGCGTCTCCCCCATTCAGTGCACCGCTTCTTGGCCCCATAGTGAGCTCTACCGAAGGCCACAGTGGCGACGTTCGCATGGCGGCCCCGCTCCATTTCGGCACACCCCTCAGAAGTTTCGTGGCCCCATCTGGAGCGCCACCGAAGGCCCCAACGGCTGCGCCCGCATGCATCCCCATCTCATTTCGGTACGCCCATTACACGCTTCGTGGCCCCATAAAGAGATCCACCGAATGCGATACCGTACCCACAGTGGCGATATTCACAACTGCATATGGTTGGGCCCTTCGCCAGGATAAGTTTGAATATTTGGTGAATGTCTTCGATTGTTTGCCCCACAATCCGCCTATAGGAGGACATGCCCGAGCTAACCTTAGTGTCTTCTGGTCACGCAATCGGCGATCACATCTCGTAGTGATCGGGGGATCACGTGATCGCGGACCGTGCGATCGGCTCGGCTTGATCACGCGATCGTCCGAGCTGGAATGCGTGATCGATCCGTGATCGGCGCGGTAGCCATCGTGTTCAGGGCTGCGATCGGATCACGTGATCGGGTGGTGTGATCGTCCGAGTGTCAGTATCGTTGAACCGACCCCTGTCCCCTGTCCCTATCCCCATCCCCATCCAGACCCCCACCATCTCAGCACCCCAGTTCGGCATATACTCCTCAAGACCCGAAGGGGGGGCACATCGGCCAGTGGCGCTCAGGCCACGCCGTTGGGGATACAGTCAACCCGCATAGTAAGGATGAGCAACTTTCCAAGATTACCCTTGCATCCTCCCCCTTCTGTCCATGCTTGGCCGCTTTTGCTGGTCGCGCCCCGCTCGCAGAGTGTCGACATGGCCTTCCAGGGCCCTTTGCATCCCTATCGTGCGCCCTAATTGTACAGGCAGACTGTAGGGGGTCGGATACACGATGCTCAGAGTGATCAGCCAGACACTACAATCTAGGCCTCCCAGATGGGATCGGAGTAGTTAGATGGGGTCGGAAGATCGCGCCGCATCGCCGATGCATCGGCGATGCATCAGCGATGCGGCTCGATGTGGGGCCCAATTTTCTCCACGCCGACGTCGCCGATGCATCGCCGACGTCGCCAGTGCGTCGGCGATGCGGCGGGATCCTCCGACATCTACTCGGACCCCATGTAGGAGGCCTCTATATCAGGTTCTGTCTGGCTCGGAGTCGCGGACGAGCACAAGGTCTGCGCCGGGTGCTTCTGGCTCGACGTCGGGCCCGAGGAGTGCGGCGAGCGCGTCCTGCGCCGCTTCGGGCACGCCACACTGGCGGCCGAGCCCGAGAGCCTGGGAGTCATCGGCGCCTTCGCGGAGCGCTTCGAGCCCCCGCAGGAGGCGGAGGGCTTCCTGCTGTGGCGCGCCCGTACCTCCGACGAAATAGAGCTGGAGCCCGTGGTGCGCGATATCCGGCCTCCGAACCAGACCTCCAGGTCGGTTTTGGAGGTCGCCGCGACGATCGTGCGGCGGCCACCCATCGGGTCATGGTTTTATTTGTTTTTGTTATCTTTGTTTTGCTTGTTTTGTGATTGTCTTTGTTTATGCAGTTTTGAGTCAACAGGAGTGGCATGCCCCTTCTCTGCCCCCCCCCTCTGCAGTGTAGATGTGGCTCCTCGTTTTACCAATTTGGCGACGGAGCCTTGCCGCAATCGATGTCCAGAAGGGGCACAGGCATGTTTTTTGGGTTGGGACAGGGATGGGTCCCCAGACATGTGAAATCCTCATTTGCTCCATACGGTGCCCCTGGAAGTCCCGATCCTTTCCCGGGGACCGGCTTTCCATCCCGAGCCGCTTTTGAACGGTCCCGACGCCCGGCGAGGGCCCCTCGAGGCAGAAGTTGGCCAAACACCTCCCGTCCTGATGTTGTTTTGTTTCACGACGCGATCGTGTCTGGGCCACAGCCCCAGCCAGGAGCTGCAGGACCTGGAGGAGGTCGTGGAGGCGTCGCGGAGCGCCGAGGCCCGCCAGGCCGCGGGCCAGCGCGTCCAGCAGCGCGGCTTCGGCGGCGCCGCGGCCGTGCCGCCGGAGAGGCCGCCGGCGCGGCGCGCCGCGCCGCGCCCGCGGGAGGCGCGGGGGGTGACGAACCAACAACACACACCCATACCCATAGGGGGATCGGAGAGGGCTATGGGTGCGTGTTGTCGGATGGGGGTCCCCGCTCGAGCGGGAGCGTGCCCCAGGGTCCGACAGCCCGCACCCATACCCACAGCCAGTCCTCCTCCCAACGACCCCCCTATGGGTGTGGGTGCGTGTTGTCCTTTCGTCAGGGGGGGGACTTCCAGTACGTCGACGTGCGCTCGGCCCGGGGCGGGGGCCGCGTTGCCCGGGTGCAGTTCCTGCGCGCCGTGCGGCGGCAGGTGGAGTACTATAACCGGGGGCGCTGGCGCGTGCTCCGCCCCGCCCACTTTGCAGGAGGGGGGAAGCACACAGACACAAATGGATCGCCGAGTCTCAGGAAAGGATGGCAAAAATACGGGAAGCGGGGGGGGGGGAGACAAAGTCACCCAAGATATAGGAAAACGTGGGGAATGTTTTGATTTGTGTGTGTTTATTTGTGTGTCCTGGGGCCCCTTCACTCTTGCCAACTCCCAAGTTGGTCTCTCGCCTGGTCCAGGGCCTCCGGGGGAGCTGCCGAGGGCGGCCGGCCCCGGTCGTCCCGCGCTGTCCTCCTCCTCCGCGGAGGGTGGCGGCGGCCCCCTCCCCCCTCTTCCCCCCGCCCTTCGCCCCCCCCCCCCCCCCTCCTCCTCCTCCCCGCACCCCCCCCGGTCGCGCGCCGCGCCTCGCCGAACTGGAAGGGGTGCGCCTCGAAGTTCAAACCGTCTTGTGACTCATCTTTTGCAGATTCAAGCCCAGGAGCAATGGCCCTCCCCGCGGGCGATGCCGGGGCAAGGCGGCTTGGTCGCGAGGCTGCTCCGAATTGCCCCAAGACGGCCCTGGAGGCTCCAAGTAGGCCAGAAAGGGTGCATGGCAGGTCCACGGCGGATCACGGCGAAGCGGCGAACCCAAGACGGCCCTGAGCTCAAGCGCCTCCGTCGTGGGCCCAAGCGCCGACCGGGCACTGTCCATTCCAGACCTGGGTCGGGGCTGTTTTGTGTCCCGAGCTGTCTAGAAGTGAGATGCAGAGCACGTCCAAGACAGCATAAACATGGGTGGCGATAATCAAGAACACTTCTTGAGTTGAGGGCTAGTTGTTAGGTTTAATTAACCTGTGTTTTTGCCGTTTCACGCTCGTCGGTGAAGGTGAGCCGTTCTGACAGCCGTTCGAGCTCGTCTCGGACGCCGTTGGGGGGTCGTCTCGGACCCCAGAAGGTGGCAACAGGGCAGCTGGCGACGGACCACGCAGAGCCTGTTTGGGAGAAACTAGTGGGCTAAAGCTCTGAAAGAAGTTCTTCGAAGTACGTAAGTATTCACTTTGGTCCAGTGGGCGTGCGGATTCAAGGCGCTTCGCGTTCACCGCCTGGTTCTCGCTGGAAGAATCGAAGATGACCCCAAGACTAGATGCTGGCTTGCCGGAAACAGACAGATACGGCCCCGCGGGGGCTTATTGTTTTCCCCTCTATACTCCATCCCGTCGCCGATAGGGCTCAGGTATGCCAGGTGGTTGACCGAGGGTCGGATCGGCGGATGAGGAGAACGAGGAGGAGGAGGAGGAGGAGGAGGAGGAGGAGGAGGAGCAGGAGAAACATCGGTCACTGTTGGGTCAGGCTATGGCCTCCATGCGCGCATGCCCTTGCACTTGGGGACCCTATTGGGGGCGGCCTCTTGATGCCATATTCGGTCTTTCTTGGGAACCAACACGTGTCTGAACAGGATCGTGGTTCGACACTTGGTTTTCTTTTGGGGTCCCATCGGTGGCATTCCAATCTTTTGGGGGGGACGCATCTTGGCCCTTGGGCGCGCCCTTTGGGGATGTCGGGGCCGTCTTGATTACATCTCTGGGCTGTCTGGGGGAGTGTTTGGGCAGCCTCGGGGTGGTCCTGTGCCGCTGTGGAGTCGCCCTGGGGCGGTCTTGAAGGCGGAGGCCATCCGGGAGCCATCCTGGGGAAACTGCGGCCAGTCTTGGGGTCTCCTGGGCGTGTCTTGGGCTGCTTCAAGAGCCGCCAGCGCTCCTCCCGGGACCACCCGTATCCGAAACGTGAGGTATGCCGCAAGCTCCCACGGGCCTGCCCGCCTTCTCCTTCTCCTCCTCCTCCTCCTCCTCCTCCTCCTCCTCCTCCTCCACCTCCATCCCTCCTCCCTCCTCCCTCTTCCCTCCCTCCTCCCTCCTCCCTCCTCCCTCCTCCCTCCTCCCCCCTCCCCCCTCCCCCCGCCCTCCTCCCTCCTCAGGATTCTGTGGCCTCTTTGAGGGTGCCGGCTTTGGGTTCTCAGGAGCCGTCTTGGAATTTCTGGAGAAGTCTTGGGGCCATCTCGCCGCCACCCTGGGGCCTTTCGGCGCATCCTGGGGTCAATGCCGGGTCCTTGCGGGCCTTCTTCGATCTCGGGCCATTTGGACCTTGAGAGGGGCCCAGAGGTCCATGTTGGGGGCCTCTGAAGGCTGGAAGGTTCTGTCGGGGAGCTCGTCCCCCCAGGGGCCCCCCTTCCCCCCCCTAAGCAGCATTGTAGACTCCTGCTAAAGAGGAGGAGGAGGAGGAGGAGGAGGAGGAGGAGGAGGAGGAGGAGGAGGAGGAGGGAGGATGGAGGAGGAGGAGGAGGAGGAGGAGGAGGAGGAGGAGGAGGAGGAGGAGGAGGAGGGAGGAGGGAGAGGGAGGAGGGAGGAGGGAGGAGGGAGGAGGGAGGAGGGAGGAGGAGGGAGGAGGGAGGAGGGAGGAGGGAGGAGGGAGGAGGAGGGAGGAGGGAGGAGGAGGGAGGAGGGAGGAGGGAGGAGGGAGGAGGAGGGAGGAGGAGGAGGAGGGGGGAGGAGGGAGGAGGGAGGAGGGAGGAGGGAGGAGGGAGGAGGGAGGAGGGAGGAGGGAGGAGGAGGAGGGAGGAGGGAGGAGGGAGGAGGGAGGAGGGAGGAGGGAGGAGGGAGGAGGGGAGGAGGGAGGAGGGAGGAGGGAGGAGGGAGGGGAGGAAGGGAGGGGAGGAGGGAGGAGGGAGGAGGGAGGAGGGAGGAGGGAGGAGGAGGAGGGAGGAGGAGGAGGAGGAGGAGGAGGAGGAGGAGGAGGAGGGAGGAGGAGGAGGAGGAGGAGGAGGAGGAGGAGGAGGAGGAGGAGGAGGAGGAGGAGGAGGAGGAGGAGTGGAGGAGGAGGAGGAGGTGGACAGCCACTCATCTCACACGACCGCTCGCCCGACAAGCAGGGGTCGGCGGCCTTCTCCGACCAGAACCTGGTCCAGGACTGGTTCTTCCAGGAGAAGATCGCAGATCCGCCGGAAGTTGGTTGGCTCGCGCTTCACTGGATCCTCTCGTGCCCTCGTATCCGGGACGTGTACCGCGCAGATGCGGACACCGTGCTGGAGGCGCTGCGGCCCTCCACGCTGACCGTCAAGCGCGCGGCCGACGGGCAGGCGTACGTCCAGAGGCGCCGCCGCCTGCCGGCCATGCGAGTCAAGCGACCCCCTCGTGGCCAGGAGCCCGAGTGGTACCGCTCGCTGCACGCGGGCGCCCCCTCCGCAGCGGTCCCCGCGGGCGCCGCCGAGGGGGGGGCGAGCGCCGGGAGCCGCCACTGCGCCGCGTGCTCCCGCGAGCTGCCGGGCACCAGCTTCAGCGCCTCGCAGCTGCGGAAGAAGCGGCGAGCGCCCGTGTGCCGCGGCTGCGTGGACGGTGTCGAGGGCGCTGCAGAGAGCGCCGACGCCGGCAGCAGCAGTGGGCACGAGTCAGGAGCAGATGCCTCGGAGCCGGTCAGCGCGGTGCTCGACGGCAGCTCGCCTACCGCATGGGTGGCAGGAGCAGCGCAAGCCCCTGTGGGGTGTAGTCCCAACGCTGCCGCGGCGGCGTCCAACGAGGATGTTCAGCAGTGTGCGCAGTGCTTGAAGGACTTGCCGAGGAGTTGCTTCACGAAGGCTCAGTTGACCAAGCATCGTGCGAGCCCCAAGTGCAAGGATTGCTCGGGGAGCTGAGGTGAACTGCTCAACCACGAGGGTAGCGGTCGACCGCTGGCATGATGGTGCTGAGGACGTATCACATTGTAGCATGTAGCGTTCTGGGCAGACACTGCGGATACCTGGCTGGACCACGCGTGTGCGCTCCACATACTTGCAATCACATGTAGTGTAGGAGCGTAGCTGTACAGAACAGGCGTGCGAGCTCGGGAGTTGAAAACATGGCACGCGTGCCCTGGCTCTTGCGCAGGCGAGAGACGTGAGTGGCAAGGTGAGGACGGGGAACCTCCCCGGGGCGGAGGACCCATGGGAGGACGAACGTCAAACGAAAATGACGAACATCAAATGAAAATAGGGTTCCGCACTCCATAGGGGGGGGGATCAGGAAGGCTTGGAAGGAGGAACACGAGGCCGGGGAAGCCAGGAAGAAGGCCGCACCCGCACGACCACGACGAACATAAAGAGTTCTGCGTTCTAGGGGGAGAGGGGGGGAGGCCAGGGAGGCCAGGAGTAGGTTCCACGGCCTAGAAGGGAGGAGGCCATAGATGCCAGGGGTGGATGGCGCACCACGAGCACGACGGAGACAAAGGGTTCCGCGGCCGAGGGGGTGTGGGGGGAGCCACGCAGGCCAGCGTTGCTCTGCGCGGCCTAGCAGGGAGGAGGCCAGGGAGGCCAGGGGGGGGAGAGGGCGAACCACGACGACGACGACGACGACGACGACGACGACGACGACGACGACGACGACGACGACGACGACGACGAGAATAAAAGGCCTCGCGGCCTCGCAAACCGTGGCTCTCGCGCGGCGCCTGGGCATCCGGGTCGTCCCGTGGGCTCTCGCTCCGCGTCCGCCGGCGGAGCCCTCCAAGGACTAGCGCTCCGACCGCTCACGTCGAGCCGCGCCCTGCCGTGCCCGCGGGGCCCCCGAGGCCCAGGAGCGGCCGAGCACTCTTCGGTCCTCCCTTCCCCCCCTCCCTTTCCTTCGCGCCTCTGCGCCGCGAGGCCGGGCGGTCGCGCCTGGGCCGCCGGGCCCTGGACGCACGCCGCGGGGCCCAGGGCCTCGAGCCGCAGGGGCCCCCTGCAGACGCCCGCTGGGCGCCGGGCCCTGGGCGCCTGGGTGACGATCGGGCCGGGCGAAAGGGGGGGGATTGGGAAAGGGGTGGTTACGAAATTTGCTGCATGCAGCTGGTTTCGGCCTCACCGAGGGGCCCATTCCTCGATACATAGCCGCCTCCGGCGCCGGGAGGCGCCGGGGAAATCAGCTACGTGAGCTGATTCTCAACCCCCCCCTTTGTTATCCCCCCCTTTCGCCCGACCCGAGGCGAGACCGTGCAGTCCAGACGCGGAGAGAAGCAGGCGATCGCAGGCATGGATCAATGGGGGCGTGGAGTGGCGACGGGCCCCGCTTCCAGGGGAGGTCGCGGGCTTCCGCCGCCGAGCGAGGCGGCCACGGCGGCATTTTGGGGAGGGCCCCTCCCCCGATCCATGGACTTGGCGACCGCGCGCCAAGTCCGTGGGTCGCTAACCGCTGATCCATCCTTGCGCGCCCCCGAAGGAAGGGCCGCTCTGGGCTCGGGAGGGGCCCTCCGCTGGTCTTCGGGCCCGTCTCTCTGAGCCCAGGGATCGGGGAGCCGGTGCCAGGCCGAGGCTCGCCGAGCCCAGGAGCAGCAACATCCCCCCCCCCCCCCGGCGGCCCCCCCCTCTCTGGCTCGTCGGCCTCCGGCCTGGGCCCCCACCTCGGGGCGGAGGAGGAGGAGGAGGAGAAGGAGGAGGAGGAGGAGGAGGAGGAGGAGGAGGAGGAGGAGGAGGAGGACCGCACTCGAGAAGCGGCTGCTGAAGATGTCAGCTTTCGGAGGTCCGCGGTGATGTCTTGGATCGGTATCGTTTGACCGATCCTCATCCCCATCCCCATCCCCTTCGAGACCCCCACAAAAAACTTCCACCCCAATTGGGGATACACCCCCCGAAACCCGAAGGGAACGGCCTATGTCCCCTTTTGGGGGGGTCAATCGGCCAGTGGGGCCTAGGCCGCAATCATTGGATCGGCGCCGGACCCCCCTCCATGGTGCGCGGAGCGCACCAGGGGCGGCGCTGGGGGCGCCGCCAGGTGGCTCCAGCCCCTATCCGAGCAATCCACGCGGACCCGCAGAAGTTTATGCAATGGTGCCTTTGTCTGTTCCCGCGGATAAGCCCTTGTTCCTTACGTTGCGCTTTCCTGATGGTAGCACGATGACTGTACACCCACTCGCCCAGCCGCGACGACGCCGACGACGGCGACGACGATATCGAGCGACGACAACGAGCGACGACGGCGACGACGACACCGAGCGTTGACCACGACCACGACCACGACCACGACGACGACGACGATGACGAGCGACGACGTCACCGAGCGACGACGACGAGCGACGACTACAAGCGACGACGAGCGACGACGGCGACGAAGTTGACGACGACGCCGACGACGACGTTGTCGCCGACGCCGACGCCGACGCCGACGCTGACGCCGACGCCGACGCCGACGCCGACGCCGATGCCGACGCCGACGCCGACGACGACGACGACGAGCGACGACGACAACGAGCGACGACGACAGGACGCAGGACGCCTTCGTCCGCCTTCAGAGCAGCTCGATGCTCGAGGTCGTGTCGCTGGACGGCGGCGCGCTGACCGACTTTGAGACCTTCCAGGCCCGCGCGGGGGCCACGGGCAAGAGGAGGAGGAGGAGGAGGAGGAGGAGGAGGAGGAGGAGGAGGGGGAGGAGGAGGGGAAGGAGTGCGAGGAGGGGGCGGAGCACGAGAAGGAGGAGGAGGAGGAGGAGGAGGAGGAGGAGGAGGAGGAGGAGTGCTCTGGCGTCATGGTGTTGCAAAACATCTCGCCGGAAGGGTTTCGGCAGTTTTTTCGGTAGCTGGGGGCTCTCGCAGGGCTCCGGGGTTGTCAACAGAACAGCTCAGGATGCGACGCGGGTTCCCAGAGCCCAGGAAGGAGTCCAGCCTTTTCAAGGGGCCACGCTGCGAAATGGGTAGGAGGGAGGATGTAGTTGTTTGGGCCCTTGTCGTACCTTGTGAGCGAGGGGGTGTGAGGGGTCTCGGACCACGCCTTCCCAGTTGCAGCAGTATTTCAGGAGCAGAGGGCGCATTCTCATGCGCACCTCTCCGAGGTAGTAAGGCTCAGAGGCGATTCTTGGCGGTCCTGTGTCTGGAGGCAGCCCCATCGGTGGCCCCCCATTGCCTTTTGCATGAGCTTGGTCACGCACGTGTCACTTGTACGGTGGGGGCGTTCGTTAAGGTATGTGCCCATGGGGCTTCAGACCCTCGAGGCTTCTATAGCTGACGAGGGCGGCGGTGATACCCATGGCCAGGCCTCAATTGGTGATCCTCCTGCTTCCAGACCGTGGATTCCTTATCCAATGGTTCCTTATCAACTGCCCCCACCGCAGTGTAGTGCCAGCGCTTGGGCTCAGTTAGAGAAGAGGCCAGCTGCCTTCGGCAACACCCGCAGCCGTGCCAGAACGCAGCAGCGCAGCAGCAGCGAGGTTGAGAGTTCAGACTCGCTCCACATCGGTGCCCTGTTGGAGCAAACGCGAGTCTTGAGCAGCCCTTCTCGTCCGCAGCCTCCTCCTCCCTCTCCTCCTCCTCCTCCTTCTCACTCCTCCGCCTTCTCTCTTGGCTCCCCCTTCCCCCCCGGCCCTCGTCCCTCCTGGAGGGCATCTCGGAGGCTTCTTGGCGGCGTGGCCTCTTTCCAGGGGTCGGGTTGGAAGCCTCTTGGGGCCCTCTTCGGGGACTCGGGGGCTTGCCAGGGGCTCGTTGAGTCGTTAAGGGCCGCCGGGGGCACTGGGGCCGTCTTGTGCCGCATGGCTTCACGGAGCTCTCCCGGAAAGGCTTTCCTGAGCCATCTCGGCGACGTATAGGCTGGTCTTCAGGCTGGGGAGGTCGCAGGTTCCAGTGCCGCCGCGGATCCTGACCCCTTGGAGTCCCTTGACGTCTTTGGGAATCCCGGGTGGCCTATATGGAGGCCAGACGGGGGCCATGAACTTCGAAGCGATTCCCCATGCAAGGCATCCGAACCACTCTTTCCTCGATCCTCGGGTGGGGGGCGAACGTTAGCATGACAAGGCCAAGGACGCCCTAGAACCCCCCGCCGAAGGCCCTGGCCCCCGCAGCCGACGCCGACGCCAATGCTGACGGCGACGCCGTCGCCGACGCCGACGCCGACGCCGACGCCGACGCCAGTGCCGACGCCGACGCCGACGCCGACGCCGAAGCCGACGCCGACTCCGACGCCGACGCCGACGTCGACGCCGACGCCGACGCCGACGCCTACGCCGTCGCCGATGCCGACTCCGGCGCCGACGCCGACGCCGACGCCGACG